CCCTCTTCTCTCTTCTGTCTTTGTAATTCTACCAAGACCATCTCAGTTTGCTGCTAACGTGCTGTGGTAGGCAGATTAACAGCCCCCAAAGATACTCACACCTGTGAAGATGCTCCCATACCTGGCAAAGGGACTTTGCAGGTGTGAGTAAGGTTAAGGCCCTGGGTGAGGGAGATTATCCCAGATTATCCATGAGACCAATCTAGTCACATGAGAACCTCTCCCCGCTGCAGAGAACCAGAAAGAGAGCAGCGTGACAAGGACTGAAGGATCTATTGCTGGTCCTGAGAGGCGGGGGTGCCTGCATGAAGACCAGAGAGAGGTCTCCTGGAGGTAAGAGCGCCTCTCAGCTGACAACCAGCAAGGGAACAGAGACCTCAGCTCTGTAACCCAAGGGCCTTCAGAAGTGAAGAGAGACCGGCTGTGCCGAAACTTCTGACCTATGGATCTGTAATATAATATTTTGTTTTCAATGGCTAAATTTGTGGTAGTTAATGCTTACTGCCTCCTTTGCCAGAGAGAGAGAGAAAGAGAGAGAGAAAGAGAGAATATCCTGCTCAAAGTTTCAGGAAAGCCACAATACCAAGCTAAGGTTACTAGTACCATTGTAAGGTTTTCATTACATTTCTTTGTAGGTTTCATTTCTATTTGCGGTCAGTGGTAATGGTTTTCTATTTATGGTAGTGATTTCAGTTTTCTTCTTTTGGGGTGAATGTATTTTGGTAAAGAAAATAAGTTGGGTTTAAAGAAAAAATATTAGTAAGTAGTCATGCAGATTTTATGAAATGATAAATGGTATTTAAAAATCTAAAATTTAGGAAATACTGGTCTAGAGTTTTCTGGAGGGCCCCTTTGGAATTCAGAAAATGGGGCAGACAGCTCTGCATATGATTTGCATGTATTTGCAATCATCATATCGAGCCTTACACACCAGGGTCAGGGAGGGGCAGGGCCAGATGGCCTAGGTGCTCTGTCACTGGCTGTGATGAGGAATCACCAATTTCTCAGCTGGCCTTTGGTATTGGAGCAATTGCATAAAACAGGAAGAAAAAAGTGTTCATGGCAGCCAACCAGGTAAGGCTTTGTACCATGGAGAATAACAACCAGACTTTGGAACCAAACAGAATTGCCTTGGAATCCTGGCTCTTCTCCTTAAAACTGTGTGATTTGGGAAAATAGTTTGACCTCTGTGAGCCTCAGTTTCCTTATCTGTAAAAAGGAAACTAATAAGAAAGCCTGCACTGGGATGAAGTGAAGATTAAACAGGGTCCTGTTTGTAAAGAGTGCGGCCCTGTTCCTAATGTGCAGTAAACGATGCAATTTGTTATTGTTATTATTATTTTTAGCTGCCCAGCGGTGGTCAACCCATTCATTTATTGCTTGTGATGTCTGCCTCCAGCATTGGAGTACTGCCCTGTGGGGCGTTCTGGGCAAAGCTGGGACAGTGTCCAGGCACACCAGGCCTGGGCTGGTCTCTGTCATGCTGACATGCAGAGGAAAGCAGAGAGAAAGGAATCCCACAGAGCTGTGCGTGGCTGGGTGGCCAAGCCTGCCTGCAGACCTTCTTTCTTCCCTATGTAGAGGCTCTGGCCCATTTCAAGAATGGAAACAGAAGAGAGAGCATGCCCTGGCTGGGAACGGAGCGACGCCTAGCTTCCCAGCCCTGACCAGGGACATAGCATGTTGGGGCACCCGTGCCTGGAGTTAACAAGAGAGAGCAAAAGAAGGCAGACAAAGGAAGGGCATCTTTCTATCTCTGTTGCATCGCCTGTGCTTAAGAAGTGTGGCTTTGGGGATCAGACAGACTTGGGTTGCCTCTGCCAGTTACTTCTGTGTGACTTTGACCAAGTAACTTCCCCGTTCTGATAATAACATAGCTAACATTTGTTAAGCCATGACTTTGTGCCAGCCTCTATTCTAAACACTACACAAGTATTAGATAACCTCCACAGCAACCCTAGGAGGGAGGCATGTTTATTATTTCCCTTTTACAGGTGAAAAGACTGAGGCACAGAGAGGTTATTCACCTAGCTCAAAGTCACACAGTTAATACATGGCAGATCCAAGATTCAATCCAAGGCAGTCAGGATCCAGAGCCTATACTTTGCTAGTATATGGTGATTAATTATTTTTAAGACTTTCCTGTTTATTAATTACTCCTGAATCTTTAAGGGCTATGTTTTCTTAACCCCATTTATCAGATTCTGAAAGTAATTATTAGACTCTGAAGTTCAACAAACATACCTACTGGGTGAGAAAACTGGGATACTGATATGGTTTGGCTGTGTCCGCACCAAAGTCTCATCTTGAATTGTCGTTCCCATAATAGCACGTGTCAAAGGAGGAACCCAGTGGAAGACAATTTAATCATGGGGGTGGTTACCATCATGCTGTTGTCATGATACTGAGTTCTCAGAGATCTATTGGTTTTATAAGGGGCTTCCCCTCTTTTGCTCGGCACTTTCACTTGCTGCCGCCATGTGAAGAAGGATGTGTCTGCTTCCCCTTCCTCTATGACTGTAAGTTTCCTGAGACCTCCCCAGCTATGCAGAACTGTGAGTCAATTAAACCTTTTTCCTTTATAAATTACCCAGTCCCAGGTATGTCTTTATTAGCAGTGGGAGAAGGGACTAATACAGATACAAACCCAGGTATCTTGATCTACAGTCAGAGTATTTCTCTCTCTCCCTTCCTCTATTCTTCCTTCCCTCATATTTTCCTTCCTTTTTTCTCTTCTTTCCTTTTTCCTTCAATCTCTCCTTCCTTTGTTCATTCAACCAGCAAACACTTACTCATTGCCTACTGCATGCCAGATATTGTGCATACATTATGTTCCTACTGTTGTATCTTCTTTGCTCTGTTCTGTATGTTGGCCATTGGCATGGTCTTAATACCCTCAGTTGCCACCACCTCTCTGCTCAGGAAGTCAATCCCTTCCAGAACAGAACCTCAAATAAACAAAGGCTGCTGGACGAGCTCCCTCAGTCATTTGTGACCATGTCAGAAAGCCAGGGCTCCACTCTGAGCTGCATTATTGGCCAAGAAGTAGAGGCAGGAGTAGACACTGCTCCAAGAAGAACTTGCTGAGGCCCACGCTGTTCTCAAACACCTGCCAGACTTCCAGGGATCTTCAGCTTCAGAGTTCTGGGCTTGTGTGCTGTTTTACAAGAAATCCAACAGACACGGAGCCAAAGAGGAGGCCGCAGGACAGGGGCTAGAGCCCCAGACAGGGGAGCGGGAGGAGAAAGGCTGTCCCCAGATCAAGTTTTGCCAATACATATCTGAGAGAGAGGAGGGCTCGGCATGTGAGGCATGTTAAGCAGAGGCTAGTGGCTGCAAGCCTGGGACAGCCTGTAGATTGATCAAGGTCTGCAGGGCGAAATGTCGAAGTCAGCAGCAGCATGCTCTGTATCCACACCCTCTCCCAGCGTGCACCCCACTACATCTTTCCCACCTGAGACTCTGTAGCTCTGTGCCTCTAAGCCCCTCCCTTTAAAAGAAAAGCAGCCGAAGAATTTGAGACAATATGGAAGCTGCGATGGATGAATTGCCCTCAACCACTTAATTCAAAGAGGGATTTGGGGCTTGATATTTAAGCCTGTAAGCCTCAGTTTTTTCACCTGCAAAATGAAATTGTCAACGGCATGTTCCTCTTGTTTACTGATAAGTGTCTTCAAAGAGGACTCCATGTTTCATTTTGTTAGCCTCCATCTCCACATGCTCCTCTCACTCCCTCTGCCTTCCTCAGATGTGGTTTCCCCAGATCACCTGATCTTCATATCTGCTGACTTTTCTCCAGACCTTAGTCTCCTCTCTGTCACGTCTTTTTTATAATTTGCCTGTCCTGAAACACCCTAAATCCTCCATGGCTGTGCGCCACCATTGGAGACATTCTGCATTCACACCTCTTCTGCCCCTCATTGCCATCAAAATGTGGGCATCTCATGGCATTTTCTTTTTTTTTTTTTTTTTTTTTTAGTCGGGGGCTCTCTCCCTTGCCCGACCGCAGCGGGCGGAGCTGCGCGGATTACAGGCGCCCGCCACCTCGCCCGGCTAGTTTTTTTTTTTTTTTTTTTTGTATATTTTTAGTAGAGACGGGGTTTCACCGTGTTAGCCAGGATGGTCTCGATCTCCTGACCTCGTGATCCGCCCGTCTCGGCCTTTTCTTGTTTTTGTGCAAGCTGTTCTTTCCACCTGGAATGCTTCTCATTCCAAATTGTTGCCTTCTTAAATTCAAACTTTTGCTTGGCCTTCAAGGGTCTGATGAAATAATTTTTCTTGCATGAAGATTCCTGTGGTTCTGTCTGTCCTGTGGTTTCATGGCACCTTCTCTACCATCTATCAGTAATGACCACAACAGTGACCACCACCAGTAAGATTAATGGCAGATGCCTTCAGCAGAATGCATGCCCTTGGGTGTTAATTATTATTAAATGATGATTTGGTTGCATAGCCCCCTGTGTCTATGCTCTTGCTACTTTGTCTTCTGCTCTGACTCTGGACTAAACCATGTGAATTGCTTTTACCAGTTGGATACTAGCAAACTTGATGTGAGTAGAAGCTTGAAAAAACCACTCAGGTGTTTCCATGCACTCTCTTTTACCTCTGTGACTGCCACAAGAACTTGCTTGTGCTTGCCTGCTGAGGTCTACAGCAGGTCTTTGTCTTCTCTCTATGGAAGAGAGCTAGTTATTATAGCCAAGACTATCAAAGATTGGCCAATAGTCACTTGACTGCATGACATGTGGGTGAGTTTCAAATGAGACCAGAAAAACCACACAGCATGCCCAGCCAAGACCAGCAGAAATATGCGACTGACTCCAGGACTCTTGAGTAATAATAAATGGCTAAATTTTAAGATTATTTGTTATGCAGCTACAGCTAACTGATACAATAATCACCACTTTTGTTATAACTAAGTATTTCCTGTGCCTGCAAATTCCACTAAATTCTTTTTTTTTTTTTTTTTTTTTTTTTTTTTTTTTTTTTTTTTTGCAAACGTGGCTGAGGCTTTACTTTGATCAGGAAGGCCTAAGGCAGGGGTCATGTTACAGGAGCAGGGCCTGTAAACCAGTCAATGCTGCTCTTTCATGCAGCACGGGGACAGCTCAGGCCTGAGCTCCACAGGCGAGGGGCTAGGCAGGCCCCTCAAAGCAGACACAACCACTAACAGGAAGGAAGGTCAAGCTGGCTTTAGTGCAGCGAAGGGTAATGTTGGGAGGGGGATGTTCATGAAGAAAAGTGGGTAGCTGAGGCTTTAAAGGACCTGCATGGGACAGGGGTTTAGGGGAAGTGAAGAGGGGATAATAAAGTCTTGGGGGTAAAGATGGGAATAAACAGGAGAAAGGAATGGGGAGGCAGGTGCTGGGATGCAGAGTCCAGCTATGCTCAACAGCCTGGGCAGAGGGCTGAGTATGAGCTCCTCACTCCCACCTCCTGGCCTTCCAGGCATTACTTGTTGCCCCAGACAGCCATTTTTGTGAACACAGGTCTTGGGAGGAAGCGGCTGGACTTCATGTGGGCAGAGATCTTCTCCAAGCCCTCTAATCGGGAGATGAAGTCCTTCAGGTTTGGGAAGGCATCCAGGCAACTGGGCTCAAATACTTGGTTTCTCTCAAGGACATCATAAGCGATGAAATCCACAAAGGTGATCTTGTCCCCAAGAAACCATGGCTGCTTCCCCAGAAACTGTGAGTAGAGCTTCAGCATTTCAGGAAGTCCCTCCAGGTATTCTGGCTTCAGTTTCTCAAAATCTGGGTCATAGCAGAGTCTGGCCAGCTGCATGCGGTTGTCCATAAGCTGGTTCTCCAAAACGTCTTCCCGAATCTTCTCCTTTTCGGTCTCCCCACACAGGTTGTGCTTGTGGGCAATGTAGCGCATGATGGCGTTGCTCTGGGTGATCTTGTGAGTCCCATCAATCAAGTAGGGCAGCCCAGTGTCATGGGCGTGGTGCTGGTTGCTGCGGATTCTGCAGACAGGCTTCGGCGGGGCGGGGCTCAGACTTTGTCCTAAATTCTTTATAAACATCAAATCATTTGGTTCTCATCTAAATTAAGATACTGTTCCCATTATAAAGATGAGGAAAGTGAGGCTCAGAGAGCTTGTCACTGCTCCAAATCAATGTGACGAGAAAATGGCTCAGTATCTTTGCTATGAGTCTTGTCCTGGCTTTTCTACTTTCTAGGCGTGTGACCTGGGCAGGTTTCTTTTACTTTTTGTGCCTCAGTTTTCTAACCTATAAGATAAAATGATAATTGTTGCTATGGTTATGAAATTGTTATATTAGATTGATATAATGCTTCTAAGTTGGAAAGATCAGTGCCTGGCACACAGTAAGTTCACAACAAAATGGTAAATACTCTGTTTCTCTTTCTCTTCCTTTTTCTCATTGCCTGATGACCTGGTGTTTTCATAGTTGTCATTTCCTATGTAGGTGAAGCCTCCTTGAAGACTGAGTCCACATCTAGTTCTTCTACCTCCCCATTACAGCACCTTGCCCAGAGTAGCTGCTTAGCAAATACATATCAAAAAGCGATTTTGATTCATTTAGCCGGAAAAGAAGAGTGAAGTTAGTGTTCTTCGAAGAGCAAGAGGACAAGAGGACAGGAGGGAGAATGAGAGATAGCTGTAGTAGGAAAACTTTAAGTTAGTCTCAGAAAAGAACGTCTAGGGAGGGTAGAGAAACTGCAGATGTTCCCTGTTGCCCCAAGGAGATGTCCTTCCTTTCTCTAGAGCTCTCTGAGCAAGTTTATATTCTTTAACTAGGCATAATTCTAAGTATGTTTGGAGACAAGGGGAGGGTGCTTAGAAGGGTGACCTTTCAATGCCCTTGCCGGCCCCAAGATCCTTCGGAGGCTTGATGGAAAAGCAGACAGCTTTCCTGCCTTCTCCCTTCCACTATTTTTCTTTGCAGCTGTCTCTGCATTTCAGAGCTCACGTCTCTGCCAGGGACGCTATTTTGGGATTTGTGGGAACAGGCGGGTTTCAGCAAATAGGAAGCTCTAAAAATCTCAGCAGGCTTCTCCCTGTGGGCCTCCCAGCCCACTCTGAGGGCGAAGGAGAATCAAAGAGGCTGCTATAGGGCCCGGCATCTGGGGCTTTTGCAGGGCAGAGGGCAGAATCTCTTTTCCCAGCAAACCCCCCACCCCAACAACAGCCGGGGGCAACCCTCACCTCTGCTTCAATCTATACTCTTCCAGGCTGGCTGCCTGTACTCTGCCTGCCAACGTGGGGCTGTAGGGGCAGCATCCGTCACAAGTCTGCAGATGTGGACCTGGGCTTTTGTGAAAACCAAAATCCAATTCCTGCCGTATTCCCAGGCTCTTTCCACAGGAGAGAAGTGGCAGGAAGGAGCTCAGCCCTGACACTCGCAGGAACTCAGGGCATCCTGCCTGTTCCTGTCCACATGCAGGTCGGCAGGCTTATCATCAAGCATGCACGCTTGTGTGTCTGTGTGTTTCTGTGAATCTCTGCAGATCTGTATTTGCAGTGGTGCATGGCTGTGTGTCCCCATGGGTGTGCTTGTGTGTAATGGGCCATATCTGTGTTTTCACAGAAATGAGTGTGAATCTGTTGATCTCCATGTATATATGTCTGTATTGTATTTATGTGTCTGTTGTCACCAAAAGACATTTGGAGGCCATTATTTTTACACTTTTAGTTCATTCAATTTCCAGCAGTAATATTTGTTCATTGAAAAAACAAGAAATAGTAGAGAAGCAACATACATACATTATATATGTATATAAAAGCTAGAGATCACAGTCACAACATATATACATATATGGCTATATACAATATAAATGTAATACATTTAACATGATATAATTAACGTAATATAATATCTAATATATGGACAATAATATATAATTTATACAAACCTGGGTGCATGAACCCACCACCCAGAGAAAAGCAATGTTAATGTGTTGGGTATTTTTTTCTAGTCTTTTCCCATTCAAATAGTTGTTCTAAAAATGTAAGCTATATGAGAGCAAAAATGGTGTTAGTATTAGTGACTACTGTTAATTTTTATCGGCAAACATATAAATATAGTTATATACATATAAATATATAAATATAAATATATAAATTAATACATGTACATATAAATAGTTATACATTATGCATTTGCTCATATATACACTTATATACATGACTATACATGTAGAGCTCTCTGAGCATATATACATGAATATATGTATATACACATGAATATATATTACATATTATGTTATATAATATGTATATAGCTAGCTAACATAGCTAACATAGTATATATTATAATATATAACATATATTAAACATTATATTATTTAATATATAATATATAATTATATATTATATATTATTTATATATAAATAATTATATATAACTATATATTACATATTTTTATATATAAATAATTATTTATACATTATATAATATATAATTATATAGTATATATAATTATAAATATATGATTATATTATTATATATAAATAATATATAATATATATTATAAATATATTATATATAACATATAATATATATTCATGTGTATAAGTGTATATGAATGAATGCATAATGAATATATTACATAAATATGTATTATAAATTAATGAATATTTGAATATACAATCATATGTCACTTAACAACAAGGATGCATTCTGAGGAATATGTTCTTAGGCGATTTCATCCCTGTGCGAACATCACAGACTACTTTCTTTCTTTTTCTTTTTTTTTTTTTCCAGACAGAGTTTTCCTCTGTTGCCCAGGCTGGAATGCAATGGTGTGATCTCTACTCACTGCAACCTCCACCTCCCAGGCTCAAGAGATTCTCGTGCCTCAGCCTCCCGAGTAGCCAGGACTACAGGCACGCATCATCTCACCTAGCTAATTTTTGTATTTTTAGTAGAGACGGGGTTTCACCATGTTGTCCAGGCTGGTCTCAAACTCCTGACCTCAGGTATTCTGGCCACCTTGGCCCCCCAAAGTGCTGGGATTACAGGTGTAAGCCACCATGCCTGGCTGACTGTACTTTCACTCGATGGCACGGACTACTACACACCTAGGCGGTATGCTGTAGCTTATTGCTCCTAGGCTACAAACCCATACAGCGTGTTACTGTACTGAATTCTTAGGCATCTGTAACACAACGGTAGGTATTTGTGGATCTAAACTTATCAAAATATAGAAAAGATACAGTGAGAATACAGATTATAATCTTACGGGACCACTGTTGTATATGTAGTCCGTGATTGACAGAAACATGGCTAGGCAGTAAACCTCATTAGGAAATGCATGATTGTATAGTAAACACACAAACCAGTAGCAAAGTCATTGACTATGATTATAAAGTATTATGCACTGTACATAATTGTATGTGCTAGACTTTTATCTGACTGGCCGTGCAGTAGGTTTATTTACACCAGCACCTCCCCAAGTGTGAGTAATGTGCTATTGAATATTTAGATAATTTATGTCCATTGCAAACACAATTGCAAAAAGCATCCTTTTAGCCAAAGCTGTATGCACATTTCTTTGCATAAATGAAGAGAAGGAGTTACCAGGTCAAAGGGTGTTAATGTGTTGTTGGCTTTTGATAGCCAGTTGGGCTGGACACACAGTAGGCACTCAATAAATTATTGTTGGATGAATAAATGGGCAATTTGGGCACTAGCTTTAGAAAGACACCATCCCACTCAGACTTTCTCTCCTGCTAGCAATCAAAACCTCAAATGCAGTCGTGGGACTTAGGGAAGAAGGGCACGGGATAGCCCACTGAAGACCACCTTCTACTGATGCTGAGGGGAGTCCACTCTGAAAAGTGTGTTCCCTCTCCACCACCTGCTGCTCGGCTCCATCCATGCAGGAAGAACAGAGGCAGGATTCCAGGTGTGGCTGCTGGCTCCCACGCCATCTATCAAAGGTTTCCTAATGAGCTAATAGCCCTAATGTGTGAACATTGATTTCTGGGGTGATGGAAAAGCTGGGATGATTTACATTCAATTTCCCACTGATGATGCACCATTGGTCTCCACGGACACTAAAATATTTACTAGGGAACAACAGAACTGGAGGGGTCCTGGTCAGGGGAAGTGAGCATGTGCTCAGTGGGTGAGAAATTCTGGAAATGATTTTTGCCTGAGGATCAGGAGGAAGGTAAAGGTGGCCTGGGAACATTCTGGAGCCGGGGAAACCCTACTGGGCTCCAGGCAAGAGAGAGAAGTCTTACTTGAGTGTTTCTTTCAGTTCTTACAGTTGTCACCAAATGGCACCTCCTCAAAGATGTCTTCTAAGACCACCCCATCTAAAGTATCCCCCAGTCACTCAGGGTCATATTATGCCACTGTCTCCCTCTTTTGAGTTATTAAGGTATTATTTATATACAGTAAAACTCATCTATTTTAACTGTGCCACTGGATAGATTTAGACACTGTCTCACAATCCTGTAACCAAGGGATGCAACATAATGTGTGACCAAGAACATCACCACCTCCACAATAGAGACAGAAATAGTGTCCTCACCCTAAAAACTTCCTCCTGATCCACCACCCCCTGCCTCAGGCAACTACCAATCTGCTTTCTGAAATAATGGTTTTGGTTCTTCTACAATTTCATATAAATGGAATCATACAGCGTGTTATCCTTCACGTCTGACTTTTCCCCCTTAGTATGATGGTTTTGAGATGCATGCATGTGATTAGGGCTTAGGGCTAGGGTTAGAGTTGGGTCATATGTTTGCTTCAGGTTATCGCTGAGTGGTATTTCATGGTATGGATACATACGATCTGTTTAGCCATTCATTACTGGTTGGGCACAGAGAGGTAATGATTCTCATTCAAGGGCACACAGCTCACAAGTGAGGGAGTTGAACTTGGTACTCAGTTCTGTCTGAATCCAAAGACTGACTGTGATGGCTTTAGGGAATTCAGCATCTCTAACAAGCAGAGCTTATTGGGAGGGTGAAATGAGAGCTTACACTCCAGTGACTTCCATTTGTTGAGTGGCTGGCCTTGTGCTGAAGATGTTTTACTGGTTCTCCTCACAAGGGCCCAACAG